GATCCGCGGCTTGGTCTCCTCGGCCCAGGCCCGGGCCTGCAGTGAGACCCTGGAGGCACTGGCTAGCTCTCAGCCAGCATCCCCTCCGCGGGCGGCAGCCGGAAAGCAAACCCCTGGTGGGAATCGTTAGGAGAGGGCTAGAGAGACTCGCCTCCTGCCCCTGAGAATCCAGGGCGCCCACCCTGAGCTCTGCGAGCAGGTGCAGGGGGGCTGTTGGAAAAGGGTCACAGAAGGGCAGCCAACACGATGAGGGGTTGGGAACAGGTCCCCTATAAGGAGAGATTAATAAGACGGGGGTTTCAGCTCCGAAAAGAGCAGACTAAGGGGAGGGTTGCCAGATGGTGTCACAAAAAATACCGACACCCCCCCCAAAAAACACTGAGAAAACAATTGGTTGAGCAAAAAAAAGTGGGGGTGGGTGGGCAGGACTGAAATGCAGTCGCAGCCTCTTTAATTCCCATGCTGCTCCCCCTCCCTCCGCCCTTCTGTCGGGTGCCAGAGCCGGGCCTCGGGGAAAAACAGAAAATAAGACATTTCAGATGTCCGATATTTTCTGAAATTTTACCAGATAGAAGGCGCACATACCGAGCTGTCTGGTTCAATACCGGACACCTGGCAACCCTAACTAAGGGGGATAGGATGGAGGTCTATAAAATCATGACTGCTGTGGAGAAAGCGAATAAGGAAACGTTATGTACGCCTTCCCATAGCAGAAGAACTGGAAGCCCACAAATGAAATTATTAGGCTGCAGGTTTAAAACAAACCAAAGGCAGTATTTCATCACAAAACACACAGTCAACCTGTGGAACTCCTTGCTGGAGGATGTAGTGAAGGCTATGACTATAACAGGGTTCAAAAAGAGCTAGCTAGATTCATGGAGGATAGGTCCACCAGAGGCTATTTGCCAGGATGGGCAGGGATGGTGGGAATGGCAACGGGGTGCATCAGTCTCACCTGGGGAGCCGGGTTAGGCTGTAACTTAAAAACAAAGTTAAAAATGACGTGTGGTCCTGCAGCACCTTAGAGACTAACAAAAAAGGACAGAGTCTCATGAGCCTCCGTGGTCGGTTCACCCCCTCTGGGGCACCAGGCAGCGGCCACTGTCGGAGGACAGGACCCTGGGTTGGATGGGCCCTTGGGTCTGACCCCGTCTGGCTGCTCTGACGTGCGGAGGGACATGGGCGCCCAGGCAGGTAGCTGGGGCTTCACGCACGGGAGAGTGCAGCTGGGGGCAGGGCACCTGGAACTCCACCTCGTGTCAAGGCTACAGCAGCCCCTGGCAGGCTGGGGGACGCTCCTCCCATGGCCCAGAAGAGGCACCGCACGAGGCTGCTGTGGGGAAGAAGCCCTGGGCCCATAGAGGGCAGCCCCAGCCTCTTCTCCTGGCGGGCAGCTGGGGGTGCTGGCTCCAGCACTGGCCTGAGTTGGGACCAGGGGGTGGGGAGAAGAGGCCTGGATTTGAGCTGAGCCCTCCGCGTCCAGGTAGCAGGCCGGCTGGATGCGGGAGGGGACGGCTACTGGAAGGGGCAGTTGCTGTTTCTCAAGCCCTGGGGGAGTCTCTTGTGAGGCCCACGAGGTGTCCGGCTGGTCCCCTCGCCGCTGGGGGGCAGAGGGTGCCCCCGCC